GACATTCGTTCGCTAATAATAAACGTGCGCGCGTTGCGTCGAATCCATCGTCGATTCTCTCTTTGACGTCCGACTTGATTTCGCTCTGCTCGTTTACTCGATTAGTCTCCATTCCTCTCGCGCATTCAACAAAATTACGAGTCTCTTGGTCACGAGGAAGGACACGCAGAGACCCGCGCAAGTAATATCGAATTACCGTACCAGGCGAAATTGATATACGTCGCGTACAATCAGACTACTCGCTACTCTTTTTTTCACAATTACTTTAATTGTCGGTAATTGCCTCGGTTGGTATCGTCGTCGTCATTATCTTCGCAACCGGTGTAGCGCAACCGTGTACCGACCGGCGATAGGCGGTAAATTAGCAAAATTTAAAAAGTCCCCTCACGACGCAAATGACGCTTTCATTCTACGAATCGAAACGAACCGATTCGATCGCGAAGGAAATCTCGGCAGAGCAGAGACACGATGTAACGAGTATATATTTCGAAGAAATAAGCAAAAAGAGGGAAACGGGGTGGGGGAAATGCGGAAATGAAGCGACGCGCGCGTTGTTGCTGCGATCATCGGTAGGTTTCGGACATGGTAACAGGAACCAGGATGGAAAGAGAGAGAGCGAGGTTGTCGAGGAACGGCCCTCCTCCACGATTAACCTTGGACTTGACTCGCAGGAATTCTCGCAGCGTGCAGTGACCTCTGCTCGTCCGCTAACTCGAGGCTCGCTCTCCGCTTTCCATTCGAGACTGCGACTCCGAGATCAACTCGCGGATTCGGTACGGCCAGCCGATACCAACAACAACGACTAAACATCTGCCCTTTTCCTTTGTTTCAGAAGACGTGGCTTACAGAAGCGTTGAGATCGCGTCCGCGTTTACGCATCTACCGCAGAAAGGTAAGCAACGGCAAAAGACAGCAGGAAAAAAGAAAGAAAGGAAAGAAGAATATATACATATAGATATCTCAGGGAACGAAACGAAATACGTCGCGCCCGTTTTCTTTTCTTTTCGTTCTTCTTCTTCTTCTTCTCCTCGAAGAAGAAGAAGAAGAAAAGTTGAAAGCACGAATCGTGGCGCTCGATTAAAACACATGATCGAAAGTACATGTACTTGATACATACTCGTCACGCACGACACACATTGTAAAAATAAAAATTTGATATCGAGCGTTCGAGCCATCGACCACTGACCACCGACCGTTTAACGATCAAGCTCGTTACTGCGGTCCTTGCGACCATCTTGTTTCCATCGATATTTCCCCAACGTCGATCCGATCAGATCGCGATGGTCGATTTCTTTGAAACTCGTACACACACGTATGCATCGTGTTTTTTTTTTTTTTTTTTTTTTTTTTTTTATCGACATGTATGATACATGTGTATATATATATATGTACGTGCACACAGAGATGGCCAGGGATACGCCAGGCTCACCGATGTCCAGATCGAGAGACTTGGTCGGCGGAGTTGGCGGTGCTGCTGCGACCACCTTGACATCGGCTGGCTATCACGCCACCTCCGGCGATCCAGCTGCCCTCCATGGCCACGTGCTGCAACAAAAGATACTCGAGGTAACGTGCTGCAACAACGGAGGATGATTCCTCTCGTAGTAGGATAGAACAGAACCCCTCTCGAACGAATTCGTTTCTCGCTCGCTCTGCGTCTTGCAAACAATTCGAGTTTCAAAGATTGCCGGAGTCGCGGAACCGCGTTTCTTCCGAGTCCGTCGTCGTTTCGTCCGACGCGAAGTCTCTCGATGCGTCGCTTGTGTTTTCAGCTACAGCAGCAGCATCAACTTCAACAGCAAATTCTGCGGCAACAGTACCAGGCGCAGGAGCGACAGTTGGCCGAGTTACACGAGCAACAGATGCATCAGCTGAAAGTAAGTTGCCTAAGTAAGGGATCATCGTCGTGTCACTTGGCCTCCTCGCGTGTGAATCTCCGTTCTCACCGTCTCACCTGCACTACCTGTCTACTCCAGTGCATCGGTGAATTGGCATTTCCCACTGAGAAACACTCTCGATCCACGACGCGTGGAGAGAGAGAGAGACTCGTTCTCGCCTTTTCGTCTCTCCCTTTTCTCTCTCAAACCGACCTGTTTTTCCTTTTTTCTTTTTTCTTTCCTTCGTCGTGTTTTTCTTTGATTTTCTCTCTCCCTCTCTCTCTCTCTCTCTCTCTCTCTTCTCTCTGTTTGCCGTAGCTCTGGGAGCAGCAAAAACAGCTGGAGGAACAGAGGAGAGAAAAAGAGAGACTCGAAGCACTGAGGAAGAAGGACAAACACGACCACAGCGCGATCGCTTCGACGGAGGTGAAGCAACGACTTCAGGTACTTGAATGGCGGGCAATGCTCGGTGGTATCGGGCCAAACCTATCCTTCTGTGTGTATATGTGCGTGTGCGTGAAAAGAGAGGATTTGTCTCGTCGTGGAAAGGCCTGGGCTGGTAGACTATTTATTATCAATAGTAACAGGAAATAGATTTACAAGTTGGCTAAACGACGTGTGCTTGATGGGTGGGGGGGGGGGACTTTTCTCGACGAGAGAAAAGAACGAGTTGGTGGAGAGAATGCTGGGGGTAAAACAGAGAAAGGAGATAGTTGCGAATGATGGCGCTGAGAGAGGAACCTTACGATTTCAGAGTTTTCTCGTGAACAAGAAGCAAAGGGAGGCGGCGGCCGCAGCAAACGGGGCGGTACCTGGCACACCCGGATACAGAAGCTGGTGAGATTTTTTTCTTCCCCCCCCCCCCCCCCCCCCCCCCC